AGTTGATCCTCCTACACAGACAAATATGTACTAGTAGGTGTTATTTGTGTCATAGTTTTTCATATTAAACTTCCTTGTCGCAATAAAAAAAAAAGAAAAGAAAAGAAAAAACAAATCAACAGTATTTTTTCAACAAACCAGTGTTGAATATGGAGGGCTGGGTGTAATTTAAACCGGACGTGTGAGTGAGAGACATCCAAAGTCAAGACAGGAAGCATGGACTTGACATGTCGATTGCAACCGCTTTGTGCAGCTACTTAAAGACAACAAAATAAAGCCACATGAAAGACAAATGGAAAGGGCTGGGAAGGTGGCTCAGTGGTAGAGTGCTTGCCTTGCGTGCATGAGGCCCTGGGTTCGATTCCTCAGCACCACATAAGCAGGAAAAAAAAAAAAAAAGAAGCCAGAAATGGCGCTGTGGCTCAAGTGGTAGAGCGCTAGCCTTGAGCTGAAGAGCTGAGGGACAGCGCCCAGGCCCAGAGTTCAGGCCCCACGATTGGACCAAAAAAAAAAGACAAATGGAAAGAGACCAAGCACAGAAAAGGAGGAAAGTTTTGGCACTTTTAATGTCATGCATGGTTCTGACATTAAAAAAAAAAAACAAAACCACCAAATGTGAGTTTGTCAGCTCTACCTGGCTATGACCCAACACCTAGGCGGTGGCCTTGGGGGGAAGGAAGGTTTATTTCGGCTCTGGGTTCAGAGATTTCCGCAAGCTACACATCACCCTGGCTGTGGTGAAGGACCTGGCTCCCAACGTAGCACGGGGGGGGCGGGGGGGGGGGGTGGAGAGAGGGGAAGGGTCTGGGTCCCACCTTCTCCTTGAAGGACACGCAGCGATCTTCACTGACCATCCTTCTCCACAGCCCCAGCTGAGAGGCAGCCCTTCCGCCTCTGCCGGGACCCTGGGGTCCATGTGGGATTCCAGTCATGGTGGTGCGCTGTGTTTTCGCTCCACCTGACTCTCACAGCCATCCGGGGACCAGCGGTTGGGAGATGCTGGCGCTCAGCTCTCTCTCCAGGGTGTGCTGAGCTCCCAAGCTGGCTCCCAAGGGCCTGCTGATGAGCCAAAGCCCGAGATGGTCATCCACAGGCTCCCAGGGAAGACGTCTGGGTGAGTGAGGGCTCTGAGGTGCCTTCAGGGAGTTGCCCCAGACAGAAGGAGACCCTCCAAAGATGGCCCTGATGAGGCCTGGCTGGAACGGCTCAGATGGGGCCCAAGGTACCACTGGCCTGGCTCACAGGTCAGGCAGCATTGTCCTGGGGTTGACCGGGGTGGGGGTCCCGGGGCCCTGGGGTGCCCTTCGGCCCTCCTGTACCCTGGTGGTCATTGGATGGAGCTCCACTAGGCACTGGGCCTAGTTTATCAGGCAGAGACCTAACTAGTGCTCTTCCTCCGCTTCCTTCAGTGAGCCCAGATGCAGGACCTCAGACCAGACACAAAGCTGGGATTCGTTTGTTTGTTTGTTTAAGTGTGTGTGCCTGTGCATGTGTGCGTGTGTGTGTGTGTGTGTGTGTGTGTGTGTGTGTGTGTGTGTGTTGGTTCTTCAGCTTGAACTTGGGGCTTGGACACTGTTCCTGAGCTTTTATATTCAACGATAGCGCTCTACCACTTGAGCCACAGCTCTACTTTAGTCTTTTTTTTTCTTAATTAGAGATAAGAGTCTCAGGGACTTTTCTGCCTGGGCTGGATTTGAACTGTGATCCTCAACTCTTCAGCCTTCTGAATAGCTAGGATTACGGGTGAGAGCCACCCGTGCCTGGCTCCAGAGCTGTGTCCTGACATACTTGGAGCACAGTCACTTCATCCCAGGACCAGACAAGGCTCCACAGAGGACAACAAACAGACCAGGATGACTATAGACCACAAGTGACAGAAAGCCCTCTGGAGCGCTGGCCCAACTGTCCCCTGCCTTGCCTGCAGGTCCGGCTGGTGGCCAGACTTGACTCACTGTCAGCTGCTTCTGACCTTGGGGAGGGTCACCTAGCCTGGGACCCAGAGGTCAAAGCTGCCTGCTCTCCCCCTTCCCAGGGGCCAGGGCTCCTGGCCTGCATGGCCAGTTCCCTGCTCTGGGTCCGTCCTGTCACCTTCTGCCTGGAATCTGCTCCTAACCCCCAGGCCGGGACAAGGTCTGAAGCTCAGATCCCTTCAAAGCCCGCTGCTCCACACAGCAGGGAGGAGTTGAGTCCCTGGGCCGGGCGGGGCTGGGCCTGGGAACTAACTTGCTTCGGGTATCTAGCCCAGGATGTCTCCTGGGCCATGTTTCCTGCAGGTAGCCAGCCATTCACCAACAGGAATGAAGTCGTCCTGGGTTCGAATCCTTGTCCCCACCCTTCCCCGGCACCCAGGCTTCAGGCTCTTCAGGCAGCAGACAGCGTGACAGCTGGGGGACTTTGTCACCAGAGCAGCCACAGCCGGGGGCCCGGGTGACTCAGTGGCGCTGTCTGCAGTGTCCCTGCTTGGGTGACGAGGTGCCTGCTCACCGTGCGGCCTGTCTCCCGGCGTCAGCCCTGGGAGGACAGGAAACAGAGGTTGGAAGGCTGGTTGTGAGCATCCGAGGCTGGAGAAGGGAGGGACACTGCCTGGGTTGGGTTGTGAGTCTCTAATTCCAACCTTAACAAACCCTGAGAAAGGGCTGGGCCTGGCGGCTCACACTGATACTCCCACTACTCAGAAGGCAGAGGTGAAGAAGAGGCTCCCCTGGCCCCTCTGCAGTGGAGTGGCTGAGCCAGGAGCAGTGGCTCATGTCCATCAGTCATGCCAGACTCCCGGGGGATCACTGCCAGGTCATTCTGGGTGGGGTGGGGGATGTGAAAGCTGATTGAAACAACTAAAGCAGAAAAGCACAGGGGTGTGCCTGATAATGCTAGAGTGGCTGCCCAGCACAAGCCAGGACCTGAGTCAAAAACCAGGTACTGCAGGGCGCCGGGGGCTCACGCCTGTCATCCTGGCTACTCAAGAGGCTGAGGTCTGAGGATCACAGTTCAAAGCCAGCCTGGGCAGGAAAGTCCGAGATACTCTGCTCTCCAATAAATCACTAGAAAACCGGAAGTGGTCCTGTGGCTCAAGTGGTAGAGCACTAGGCTTGAGCAAAAGAAGCTCAGGGACAGCGCCCAGGCCCTGAGTTCCAGCCCCACGACTGGCCAAAAATAAATAAATAAATAAAGGATTCAGAATTGTAGCCAGGTGCTGGTGGCTCACCCTGAGATCTCAGAATCACTTTGGAACACAGGCCTGGCACGAAAGTCCATGGGACGCTTATCTCCAATTAACCACTGAAAAGCCCAAAGTGGTGCTGTGGCTCATGGAGCAGACTCTGTGTTCTGAGTGCCCTGACTCTGAGTTCAAACCCCAATGACACACACACACACGCATGCACACACGCGTGCACACACGCACGCACACACACATGGATGAGCCGGGACCAGTGGCTCATGCCTGTCATCCTAGCTACTCAGGAAGCTGAGATCTGTGGATCACAGTTTGTAGCCAGCCAAATCCATGGGACTCTTCTCTCTAATAAATTACTCAGAAAAAGCTAGAAGTGGCGCTGTGGCTCAAGTGGTAGAGTGCTAGCCTTGAGTGAAAAGAGCCTCAGAGATGGTGCCCCAGCTTTGAGTTCAAGTCCCAGGACTGGCAAAAAGAAAAAAAAGAAAGAGATTGTGAGCCATGGCTCTGAACTTGGGACTAGTGGGCTCCAAGGTGTGTGACTGAGACTTGCAGCCCCCCCCCCCGTGCCAGCCCCCATGCCTGCGTGGGAAGGGCAGTCTGTTCCGTGCCCTGTGCTTCCATACCCTCCAGCCCAGCACCCACGGTGGCCCTAGCGGGCGCGGGCCTCTCCCCTGCGGCTCCGTGGAGCTCAGACCCCCGTCTGTGAGGGCCTGAAGCAGTGGGCCTCACTGGGCATCCTCAGCACCAGGCCCCAAGCTGACCCTCAGGCATGGCAGGTTCCCTTGTCCTGTGGTGTCCAGACTCTGGGCACTGCTCCCAACAAGGCCTGGCCCTTATCAGACCAACCGGCCTTCCCTGAAGCCCCGGCCCCAGGCTGTGAGCAGCAGGGTGGATATCCAGGCCCGTGCTGACTCAGGGCAGAGGTCTAAGGACCAGATCCCCTGGCCAAGGGGCACCTGCCAACCTGCTTCCTGGACAGCGCACGCAGCCCTTGATGCCACCAAGGCAGGGTGATATAGACACCAACCACTCCCACCTCCCAGGGCTCCAACGGCTGCACCCCAACCGCTCCCTGCTGAAGGAAGGGGTGCCCGCGGCAGCACCCTAACGCTGCCTGGGGATCCCCTCAGCCCTTCCCACGCCCTGCAATAAAAGGGTACTTAGGGTGCAAAGGAACTTCAAAGCTGCCGAGGCCCAGAGTTAAGGGTGGGGCTGTGTAAAACCCGCCAGGGCTCTCTCAGCTGGGGGCTCAGAGGGAGGCGGTGTGGACAGCTGTCCCCAGGGCAGATTCCTGGTCTTCCCAGCTCAAGGGGTAGAGGCCGATGGTCACCACGGCCACCAGCACCTATAGCCAGCAATAGGAAAGCAGCATGGCCAGCCCCGGAAGGTACAAGCTCTCCAACAGGACCTCCCAACTATCCTCTCGGGTTAGCTGGGTGTGGGACCAGCACTGTTTGCAGGCTCAGCAAATGGCACCCCAGCTCCCCCCCCGTTACCCAGTGAGAAATAGGTAACGAGGAGCCCAAGCCCAGGGGTCCAACACACAGGCCACACGGTGCCCACACGCCAGGCCAACCGCAGCCCAGCCCCACATGGTGCGCTTGCCCACACCCCTGTACCTGTCAGTGGTCCCAAGACTTCAGCCTCCCAGCTCCCCCCCCCCCATGGCTGGACACAAATCTCACACCTGTCCGGCCCCCCTCCCCTGCACAGAGAAGTGACCACACACACACACACACACACACACACACACACACACAAGCCGGGCTGACCCCTACCTAGGAAACAGAGACAAGACTGAGGGCTAAGACATTGCTGGACCACTTGGTTATAAACAACCTTTTATAAAGTCAGTCTTTGCTCAAGGGGGTGCCCCCAGCTCCCCTCCGCATACAGGCCAGCTCAGCGGCCTGGCCCAGATGGGTGAGCCCCAGGCTGGGTTTCCGAGAAGGGGAGTCCCACTATGCACCCTGCCCGGCACGGGGGAGGGCGGCAGCGACCTCTTTATTGTGCTCCAATCTTTTTTGTACAAAAATAAGTCTTCTGTGTCCATTCGGGTCCCCCCAGCAGTCCAGCTAACGGGTGAAAAGTCCACGCTGGGCCCTTGTAAGATCCCATCTGGGCCGAGGCTGCGATTCACGCGGGCGCTGGGCACCGGGCAGTGGGGACGCGGCGAGGACGGTCCATCTGCGGCTCCCAGGCGATGGGTGCTGCGTGTCCAGGGCTGCGGGGAAGGCGGGCCGAGTTAGTGCGGGGCTCCCCGGGGCGCAGGCTGCGGTCGGGGGTGGGGGGCCCGGCGGGGCGGGGCGCCGCCCGCGGCGCAGCCCGGGTGACTCAGGGCGCACCCCGGCGATTTGCAATGCAAAGTTACCCCACCCCCGGTACCCCGACTCCGCCGGGACCCGCCGGCCGCCGAGCCCGGGGCCGGAAGTTTTGCAATCCCGGACAAACAAACGCCGATCTTGCTCGGACTTGAATTAAAAAAATAAAGGAAAGCTCTCGAAGGCGAGCGAGCGGGGTGGAAGCGACGGCCAGCCCCCCTCCCGCGCCCCCGCCTCCCCCCCGGGCCCCAGGTACCTCAGTAACCCCCTAACCAGCTGGAGAAATCCAGCAGCTCGCGCTCCGCGGGGCTCAGCTCGCCCTCGCAGCCGCTGTCGTCCGACGAGTAGGCGGAGCGCGGGGAGCCGGGGCCCGGGGAGGCCGAGGCGGCGGCGGGCGAGGCGGCGGCGGCGGCGGGCGAGGCGGCGGGCGGCCCGCGGGCGGCCGGGCCCCGCAGCCCCCCGGCCAGCGCGGCGCGCACGCCGTCGTGCTCGGCCAGCAGGCCCTGCAGCGCGCGGATGTACTCCACGGCCGAGCGCAGCGTCTCCACCTTGCTCAGCTTCTTGCTGGCGCCGCCGGGCGGCACGTGCTGCCGCAGCGCCTGGAAGCCCAGGTTCACCAGCTTCACCCGGTTGCGCTCGCGCTCGTTGCGCCGCGCCACGGCCGCCGCGCCTCCCCCGGCCTCGGCGGGGCCCGGGCGCCGCCGCCGGCTGCAACGCAACAGCTCCGGGGACGCGGATCCGCGCCGGACGGCGACGCCGGGAGCTGCGGTCCGGAGCCGGGGCAGGGCGCCGGCGTCCATCGCGCCCGCATCCACCCCGCCGGGCGCGCCCCTCGTCCCCGCGAGCCGCCGGCGAGGACCCGGGGTGGGGTGGGGACCCGAGAGACGGCGCCGCGGCCGCGCCCCGCCGAGCCCCGGGCGCGGTGTCGCCGACCGGGGATGGGGGTGGGGGACCGCCGCGGCGCTGCTCGTCCGGAGCCCCGGGACTTGGCGGCCGCGGAAGGACCGGTGGAGGGGGAGGAGGGTGGCGGGCCGCGGGCGCCGGGAAGCGTGGGGCGCTCGTGCCCCTCGCGTGCGGCCGGGCGCTCCCCGGGTCTCCCGGGCGCGGCGGCGGCCGGGCTTTAAATGTATAGCTCGCCCTCCTCCCCCGCCGCCGCCTCTCCCCGCGCCCTCCCCCGCCGCGCCCTCCCCCTCGCTCCTAAGCCGTGCGCGCGCCCTTCAGCCCCGGGCGCCATCCGCGCGTCGCGGCGGCCCCACGCTGCCAGCAGGTGCCTGGCGGCGTGCCCCGCACGGCGCTGCTCGGGGTGCGGGTGTGCGAACCCCAGCCGCCCTCGCGGGTCCCCGGACCTCCACGTGCTGTCGGGGGGGGGGGGGTCCCGGGCGTAACCCGGCCCGTAGGTCCCCGAGGTGGCGCGCGCCGTCGGGCAGGCGTGGCCTGGGGTGGGCGGTCAGCCCGGCCGTCGGGGCGAAGCGCGAGACCCTACCCTCCCCGCCCGCCCCCCGCCCCGGGGCAGAGCCGCACACCGGGCGGGCGCGGTTCCCGTCCCCGCCCCCGGGGCCCAGGGGGCGGAGCCCGAGGCCTCAGCCAATCGCGGGCCCCGTCCGCTCAGTCCGCGGAGGAAACGCGCGCCCGGCGCGTGGCGCGGGTCCCGCTCCGCCCCGGCCCGCGCACACTTGCGCCCCGTGGGGTGGGGACGACGCGTGGTGGAACTCAGACCGGGCAGGGAGGGATTCAGATTCCTGGGGGCCCTGCGCGCACCCCGAGCCCCCCCCTTCCCAGGGCCCCCCGCCTCCACCGCAGAAGGCCCTCCTCCACCCGGCGCCCCAGCCGCTCCGGTCCCCGGGAGTCGCCCCTGGTGGCTGGGCTCCACGCCCGCCTCCCTGGCCCGTCCTTCCCAAGGACAGCGACCCCTGAAGACGGCGAGTGGCCCGCAGCGGCCAGGGAGCCGCGCTGCAGAAATGTGTGAAATGCGCGGTTGCTGGAAGAGTCCGCGCCCTGCCCCTCCGTCCCGGAACCGTGCCCTCGGGGCCCAGCCAGGCCTGGCCCGTCCCCCCCCTCCCCCAGGAATGGGTGCTTCTGCGCCAAGACGGTGGATCCGGTTGGGCCAGCTGTCTGGAGCTGCCTTCTTTGTCCTGGGTGGGTCCCAGGATCCCCTTCTTCAGGGGATGCCAACCTAGCGCGAGGGTGCCCAGCACCCTGCAGGGTCCTCCTGGCTAGCCTGTCCGTCGACACCCCCCTGTGGGCAGCAGGCTGCAGACTAGCACCTGCCTGGCTGCCTGGTGGGAGACACCCCCGTGGAGCCATCCAGGTAGACATGGAGGCTGAGTTTGAATTTCCTGATGGGGCTCAGCACCCTCCCCTCTGGTCAGAGGCAAGCCCAGCCCCCGCTGAGTCTCCCATCCCCCCTCCCTGCTTCGCTTGCCAATGGCCAGGTGGAGGGCCAAGGAGCAATCCCAGAGCCCCGCCGCTGGGCCTTGGAAGTCCTTGCTGGTGTATGATTTCTCAGGACCCCGTGGATTGGCAGCCAGCTTTCTGCTAGCAGGACCACAGCTCTCTTCACCTGGGAGATCAGGGGGAAGCAGGACATCCACCAAGTGGTTCCCAGGATATTGAGAACAGATCCCATAAGAACCCTTAAGACCCAGGACTCTATGAGTTTCTTTTGAAACTCACAACCCTTCCAGAAGCCTGTGCCTGTGTTGTCTTTTATTATGAAAGTGATGTACATCAGGGTGTGGGTGGCTCACACCTGTCACCCTAGCTACTCAGGAGGCTGAGATCTGAGGATCTCAGTTCAAAGCCAGCCCAGGCAGGAAACTCTGTGAGACTCATATCTCCAATAAACCACCAGAAAACCAGAAGTAGTGCTGTGGCTCAAGTGGTAGAGAGCTCACCTTGAGCTGAAGAGCTGAGGGAAAGAGCCCAGGCCCAGAGTTCAAGTCCCACAACTGACAAAAATAAAATAAAAATAAGAATGGTGTACAGGGGGGTTACAGTTACATATCAGGTGATAAGTACATTTCTTCGTGGACAGTGACAGGCCTTCCCTTTTTTCCAGTTTTTCCCTCCCATCCCCACCCACAAGTTGTAGAGTTCATTTTCAACATAGTATCTAGTGCTCCACTTGTTCACTCTTTGTCTCTCCATGTCTATACCCCCATTACCTCCCAAAGACAGATAAAGGGACAAACAGAACAAAAAGAAGAAAATACAGCAACAAAGGAAAAAAACCTCTTGGTTCCATTTCCTGGAGTTCATTTTGATCAATATTAGTTTATAGGATCAGATGCTCACCGGCACTGTGCCTTTGTGTGTATTAAGGCTTGATCTCAAGGCCTCATGCACTTGCTTGGCTTTTCCACTCAAGATTGGCTTTCTACCTCTAGATCGACACCTCCACTTCTGACTTTGTGCTGGTTGATTGGAGATAAGAGTCTGGTGGACTTGTCTAAACTGGCTCGGCCTGGTGATCCTCAGATCTCAGCCTTCTGAATAGCTAAGATTACTAGAGTGAGTCACTAGTTCCGGGCAACAAGGAACTGAATCTCCTTGAAACAACAAAAACAAAAAAGGACCAGGTTCCGGAAGCAGGGTTGTCAAGACCATGGACAGGCAGGGACAACAGTCTTCCAGAAATGGGGGACAAGTGGAGAGCCCTACACACCCTGCTCCTCCCCCAGAGCCAGCCGTTTGGCCCAGGGGCCTGGGTGTGCTTGGTGTGTGTGGAGCTGGGGAAGGGTTACACTGACAGTAGACTGGAAAGGATGACCCTACCAGCCAGCATGGGGTATCTAAGGAAGAAGCCCTGGATAGAGGAAGAGTCTACTCTTCCCTTAGTACTGGGCCAGCGTCACTAACTCCAGTCCTATCTGACATGAAATGCTCAGTGTGTTTGTACCTTAACTATGTCCCAGGGCAAAGCCACAAGTCAGGAATACAAAAATATTCAACAACTCAGGTGCTGGTGGCTCATATCTGTCGTCCTAGCTTCTCAGGAGGCTCAGATCTTAGGATCATGGTTCAAAGCCAGCCCAGGCAGAAAAGTCGGAGATTCTTTTCTCCCATTAACCACCAAAAACCCAGAAGTGCCTTGAGCAAAAATAGCTAAGGTATAGCACCCTGCAGAGCTTTGTCATTGTGCCTTCCATTATCCAGCCCCCAGGAGCCGAGCTGGACCTGTGCAGTAGGGGCCATGGAGGGGTTTCCAGGGCCCAGCACACCTCTCTGCAGCTTCACCAATGCCCCTCAGAAAGCCTTGGGGAGGGACCACTTTCTGGGGTTCCTCTCTGAGTCTCCCTACTTTCCTTTTATGGCTTTCCTTCACTTTCAAGTAAACTTGCTCTGTCTGTTTGCTTACACACACACACACACACACACACACACACACACACACACACACACGGAGCAATTAAGCCTCAGAGAGATGGGGGGGGCCTCAGGTTCCTCCCCAGGGAGTCAGTAAGGACATTGCCTCACTCCTCCCCCCCACGTGGTGTCCTTTCTGCTGGGGTGGAGGAGGAGCTGGGAGGGATTCTAAGGAAAGCTCAGAGAGCACGTGGGTAAAGCCAGTTCTGAAGACTGTAAGGAGGGGAGCGGGGAGGGAAATGGGTAAAGCAGGTCCTCAGTTCCCAGCCTCTGGAATAGCTGGAATTACAGATGTGACCATGGTTCGAAGCCAGCCCAGGCAGGAAAGTTCATCAGACTCTTATTTCCAATGAACCAGCAAAAAGCCAGAAATGGAGCTATGGCTCAAGGGGTAGAGTGCTAGCTTTGGAGACAGCGCCCAGGCCCCAAGTTCAAGCTCCAGGACCAGCACGTGCACTTGTGCAAATACACATACAGACACAGAGCAGGCTATAAAATAAATTGTTTTTTAGAACCATTTTGGGTTCATAGAAAAGTCTGCAGGGGGCTGGAGATAGAGCTCAAGCGGTAGAGCACTTGCGCATTAAGCTTAAGGCCCTGAGTTCAATCCCTATTGACTTCACAGAAAAGACCACCATCAGGCTGGGAAGGTGGCTCAGTGGTAGAGCGCTTGCCTTGCATGTCTGAGGCCCTGGGTTCGATTCCTCAGCACCACAAAAGAAAAAAAAAGCTGGAAGTGGTGCTGTGGCTCAAGTGGTAGAGCGCTAGCCTTGAAGCTGAAGAGCTGAGAGACAGCACCCAGGCCCAGAGTTCAGGCCCCACGACTGGACCCCCCCCCCCCCAAAAAAAAGACCACCATCTCCAATAAAGCCACATTGAGGTCCTGGGGGTTGAAGAAAAAAGAAAAAGAAAGAGAGGGAGAGAGAAGGGGGGATGGAGAAAGAGAAGGAAAGAGACTACCATATTCACAATCAGAACACAGCTACGGTCTGTGGTCTGTGTATGTCAGGTATTCTGACATATACATGGTCCTCCGGCACACATCAGCCAGGCTCCTCTGATTCGAATCCCTCTGAGTTTCTACCTGGTGATGGTGTCAGATCCTGCAGCCAGGGCTCCCCTCCCCCAGGACATCCCCTCCCTTCCACCAGTGGCAGTCCCTGCTGTGACCTGTGTGTCTGACCAACTGGCCACAGGGCAGGGCCTCACAACCCCTCTCAGGCTCAGCTGGCTTTCTGCTCTTATAGTCCTCCTATGTACTGCTTCGGGTTTTTTGCTTTATTTTTAGGTTTGAGACCACTACTGGATACCTGCCACTTTCGCTCATTGGCTAGCGCTCTACCAACTGAGCCACACCTCCAACCCCTCACCTGCAAAGGAGCCTATGGGTGCCCATGGACACCAGAGGAAGAAGCGTGGGGGCGTGGCACCGAGGAGGAGCGGGGCTCCACCCACTGGAGGTGTGGGGCGTGGCTTCTGCCCCGTTGGAGGTGCAGGAGGCGTGGCTTCTGCCCTGTTGGAGGAGCAGGAGGCGTGGCTTCTGCCCCGTTGGAGGCGCAGGGGGCGTGGCACCGGGAAGGGGCGGGGCACTGGGAAGGGGAAGAGCCTCCCTCCTCTCCTGGCACCGCCTAGGATCTGCTGTCAGGAGCTTTCTCAGCAGGCTTTGGGGTTTTCGGGGGTCTTTTTGTGGTAGGCATGCAGGATCGCACCGCAAGGCACCTGGAAGAGTCGGCTGGAGTTCTTCCTGCGGGAGGCTTGCTCCCCCCAGTAACCCACGCAGGCCCGCAGGCGTCTTCACAGGCAAGCGAGGACCCAGGGCTCCCCATTGATTTAGCTGGGGCCAAGTTCGTGTGGCTTTGCTGCCACTGGCTGGTTTTTGCTTCGATCTTGTGTTGAAACTAATCTTAATTCATCAATCATTGGATGATGCAAGGAAGGAGAGAAGAGGGCCCGAGGTAAGAAAATCTTATCGTGGATGTGCGTGCGCACGCGCGCACACACGCACACACACACACACACACACACACACACACTCACTATCCTGGGGACAAAGGCAGAGGCAAGACAGGGCCCATCTATGGTCCGCACTTGTGCCGGGGTTCCCGGCCTGTGATTCCTGAGGACCAGGGCTGCCCTCTAGAGGGAGCTGGCCACCCTTCCACAGTGCCCAGAAAAAATGGGCGGGGCAGCAGCTCCCTCCATAGGACATCCCCTTGCAGATGTAAAGGCGTTTTCTGGGCAGGGTAGCTGGCCCTGCTGCCAAGCACAGGGAAGGGTCAGGGGTCAGCCCAGCTTCCTGAGGGCACAACCTGTGCTGTGAGGTTTCCGCTTTAGACAGATTCCTTCCTTTTCTCAGGAAAAGCAGCGTCTGAACTCTGGAAGTTCACTGGACACAGAGGTGCTGGGGCTTGGGGACAGCAGTGTCAGAGCCACCTCTTCCCCAGGGGCCTCGAGGGAGGAGGAGTGGACCAGATGGGAATGGTGAGTAGCTCCGCACTGCTGGAGACAAAGGGCGGCGCAGGGGGCCTGATGTGGGCGTAGGCCTCGTGCCGCAGCTGAGCCCACCTGGGCCGTGCCAGGACCCGCACAGCCGCCCTGCAAGCTCAGGGCGGGAGGCCTGGGGGTGCGTATCCTCACCTCCCTGCTCTCTGGCACAGGGTGCAGCAGGAGGGCCCCAGCATGAGCCTTCTTGAGTGGTGACCACTAGAGCCATCTTCCCAGCCAGCACCAGCCCTGGGGCCGCCAGAGAAGACTGGAAATCAAACCTACTTCCGAGGAGCTTCTGAGGTTTCTATGCCATCCAAGAGTCAAAGGTCAGACCCTAGGCAGCCTCCTGGGTACAGCCCCAACTGCAGCAATGCCAGGGCAGAGAGCATGCCCCTTCCTGAGCACCCCTCGGCCTTACTGGCCCCACCACCTCCAAACCCCCTTCCCCTGTGAACCGCACAGCTAGAGTATCTTGGGGAGGCCCAAGATCTCGGCACATTCCCTGCATCCTGAGCCAGCCTGGGGCAGCAAGGAGGCGTGGGGAGTTGGCCTTGCTACCCCGCCCCTTCCTGCCCGCCCTCCTTCCTGGGCACCCAACCACTGTAGGGTGTGCTGACAGATGGGCGGACATGCCCACCTCCTGCGGTCTGAAGTCTCCACCCTGTGGGAAACCACAGTGGGAGGGGAAACAAGGGCAGGGGAGAGGAGAGGAGAGGAGAGGAGCAGGACTACCATGGCGCTTCGGAGTCGAGTCAAGTTTGCCAAATGCCAAATGCTGGTCACCAGCTTCTTTGTCTTGGTAACAGGCAGGGGTGGGTTTCTCAGGGCATGCCCAAGCCTCTGAAACTGGTCACACCTACACACACACACACACACACACACACACACACACACACCAGCTCTAATCTGGCAGATGACCCAGGTCGGCTAGCAGCCATCCTGAAATAACTTGGGAAGGACACCCTTGTGGGTGGCAGCATCCGCCCTCCTGAGGGGCCATTCAGGGCCTGGAGGAGGCTGGGATGGGCCCAGGGCCTTGGATGGCTAGTGGCCGGGGCTGGTCCTGCCGGGGTCGGCACTGGCTGCCAGGCTGGGAGATGGCTTTCTTCCTCCCACCATGGGGGCTTTCAGACACTGGGGAGGGGCTCAGGTGATGGCAAGGTTCTGGCTCTTTGCAGAAACTCTGTGTGTGTGTGTGTGTCTGTCTGTAAGTTATCAACGTGTGTTTGTATCAATATCTGTGTGTACATATGCCTATGTGTATACATGTGTGTGAGTGTGTATGTTGGGGTAGCTGGGACAAATGCCTCCCAGCGCCCACCCCAGAGAACTCCCTGCAGCTGGCCTGCCTTATGTAAGGTGAGCAAGCATGAGGGATGTGGTTGGAGGCCCAGGAGCCCAGGTCCTACCCGCGGGCGCAGGAGGGGCTCTGTGCGGCATCAGCCCAGGCGCTGAGCCCACCTCTCCCCCAGCTGCTGAGCCTGGCTGGGGCTTCCATCGTGGTGCTCACACACTTTGGGGACCACTTTACTGTCATCAGCCGTGCACCCTTAGAGAGGAGCCCCTTCCAGACCCTGGACCGCTGGGGTAAGTGAGGTGGGGGGGAGGCTGCAGGGTGCCGGCAGCGGGGGCAGCTCCTGGGCGGAGGGGCCTAGGAAGGTGTTCTGGCCTGGACGTGGGATCCCTGGGGCCCCAGCCCTGGGCAGCCCTGAGGAGCTGACTCAGGTAGAACCTAGGGGTCGGGGCAGAGGGCGGACCCCTCGGGGTCATGGCTCCACTGAGCCGCTCGGCGGCCCTGGGCGATGGTCAGTGTCCCCACCCTGGGTCTGGGGCCCCACAGGAGTATGGGGCCAGGGAGGGGCGTGTGGCAGTGTCAGGATGGAGTGCTGTCAGGAGTCTCTGGGGCCTGGGTGTGGAGAGGTCTGCAAGTCCCAGCAGAGAAACTGCCATGTTCAGAGGGCTGGGAAGGTTGAAGAGAGCCAGGCCTGCGGGTGGCCACTTCCACAGGGGCGAGAAAGGTGGCTCTGGGCAGGGCTGACCCAGGCCGGGCACAGGGGTCCCGGGGCGGGGCAGGTGGGGGGGGGGAGGAGGCCAAGGCAAAGGGGCTCTGGCTGCCCAGCCTCCTTTCTGAAGGACCCGAACCCCTGGGGGCAGGAAGCCGGAGGCTGGGCCTGCGCTGATAAGGCCTCTGCCCAACTCTGCCACCTGTCACCGGGAAGAATGTGGCTTGAAGATAGTTGCTGGAGGGAGGAGGGCTGGACTAGAAATGGGGAAGGAGGCCGACGCCTCCACCCTCCTCTTCCTCCTCTGAGCTCAGGGAGGGAGGAGGTTGCTGGGCACCCAGAGGCCAGCCCTGCCTGATGAGCTCCCTACAAGGCCAGCCGTGTCCAGGACTCCTATGTTGGATCTCAGGCGCCAGCTCAACTCTCCTTCTCTCCCCTGCACCCAGTGTTTGCTGTGGGGATCATCCTGGCGGGCCTGTTGGGCCTTGGAGCCGCCCTGAGTGCTGCAGCTACCGTGAGGGAGGCCCAGGGCCTCATGGCTGGGGTGAGTTCTGGGGTCCCTGGCACTCCTAGTCTCCAGATAAGGGTCGAGACTTAGAGGTATGTAAAGCCACCTCACCCCATCCTGTAACGACTCCAGAACTCAGGCTGGAGGTGTGGCTAAGGTGGTGAAGGGCTAGCCGGTGAGCAAAAGCAGCAGGTACCCAGTTCAAGCCCCATTCTCAGACCTACAAGAGAAAAGAATCCAGGCTCAATACACAAGCCTAGATATCTGGGCCAGCCAGGACTCTCCACATGGATGAGTCAAAATCTCCCTACACCAGCCAGGACTTTCCCCAAGACCAACCAGGACACTGCCCATGACCAGCCAAGACCCTCCTCTAGACCAGCCAGGACCCTCCTCTAGACCAAACAGGACCCTCCTCTAGACAAGCAAGGACCCTCCTCTAGAAAACCCAGGACTCACCCCCAGACCAGCCTAGACCCTCCACAAAAACCAGCCAGGACCCTCCTCTCCACCAGCCAGTACCCTCCTCCAGACCAGCCAGGATCCTCCTCTAGACCAACCAGCACATACCTCTAGACCAATCAGTAGTACCCTCCTCTAGACCAACCAACGCTCTCCTCTACAACAGCCAGGACCCACCACTAGTCCAGCCATGACCCTACTCTAAACCAGCCAGGACCCTCCTATAGGCCAGCTAGGACCCTCCTATAGACTAGCCAGGACCATCCTCTAGACCAGCCAGGACCCTCCACTAGACCAACCAGGAATCTCCCCAATACCAATGAGGACCCTCCTCTTGATCAACCAGAACCCTCCCCAAGACCAACTAGGACCCTCCTCTAGACCAGCCAGGACCCTCCTCTACATCAGCCAGGACCCTCCTCTAGACCATTCAGGACCCTCCTCTAGACCAACCAAGACACTCCTCTAGACTAGGAAGGTCCCTCTCTTAGACCAGCCAGGACCCTCCTCTCGACCAGCCAGTACCCTCCCCTTGACCAACCAGCACCCCCCTCTACACCAGCCAGAATCTTCCACTAGACTAACCACGACCCTCACCAGTACCAACCAGGACTCTGCTCTAGACCAACCAGGACCCTCGCCAAGACCAACCTGGACCCTCCTCTAGAACAGCCAGGACCCTCCTCTAGAAATCCCACAACCCTCCTCTAGATCAGCCAGGACCCTCCCCTACACCAGCCAGTACCGTCCTCGAGACCAGCCAGGATCTTCCTCTAGACCAACCAGCACTCTCTTCTACACCAGCCCAGACCCTCCACTAGGCCAACCAGGACTATCCTCTAGATCAGCCAGGACCTCCACACAGACCATCCAGGATCCTCCTCTACACCAACCAGTACCCCCATTTAGACCAACGAGGACCCTCCCCTAGACCAACCAGGACCCTCCTCTAGACCAATTAGAACCCTCCGCTAGACCAACCAGCACTCTCCTCTAGACCAGCAAGGACCCTCCACTAGGCCAACCATGAATCTCCCCAATACCAACCAGGACCCTCTTCTTGACCAACCAGAACCCTCCCTAAGAGCAACTAGGACCCTCCTCTACACCACCCAGGACCCCTCCGTAAACCATCCAGGACCCTCCTCTATACCAGCCAGGACCATCCTCTAGACCAGCCAGGACCCTCCTCTAGACCAGGTTGGTCCCTTGTCTAGACCAGGCAGGACCCTCCCCTAGACCAGCCAAGGAGGAATCTCTCCAAGACAAACTAGGACCCTCCTCTAGACCAGGCAGGACCCCTCTCTAGACCACCCAGGACCCTCCTCTAGACCAGCCAGAACCATCCTCTAGACCAGCCAGGATCCTGCCCTAGGCCAGCCAGGACCCTCCTCTAGACCACCCAGGACCCCTCTCCAGACCAACTAGGACCCCCCTCAAGACCACCCAGGACCCTCCTCTAAGAAAGGGACCTGGCTTGTCCCTTTCTTAGACCAGCCAAGACCCTCCTATACACCAGCCAGGACATTCCTCTATACCAGCCAGGACCCTCCCCTAGACCAACCAGGGCCTCCACACAGACCAGCCAGGAACCTCCTCTACACCAACTAGTACCCCCCTTTAGACTAATGAGTACTCTCCTCTAGACCAGCCAGGATCATTCTCTAGACCGCCCAGGACCCTTCTCTAGACCAGCCAGGACTCACCTCTAGACGAACCAGGACCCTCCCCAAGACCAAACAGGACCTTTGTCTAAACCAGCTAAGACCCTCCTCTACACCAGCCAGGACTCTCCTCTACACCAGCCAGGACCTTCCTATATACCAGCCGGAAACCTCCCCTATGTAAGGTCCATTCCTGGATGGCGAGCAAATCCCGCCCAGTACCTGTGTTACCTAGGCAACTGGGACACCTGGAAGAGGTCACATCTGCATCCGCTGAGGTCACATCTGAATCTGATGTGGCCACACCTTTCTCCCACCTGGTCTCACCTCTTACCTGGTCCCACTTCCCTTTACTTGGACACACCTTTCCCCGCCCCTACCCTAGATAAGGCCTAGCCCAGGACCAGAGCCCTCTTTTGCCAGCCGCGTGGAGTGCCAACCTTACCTGGTCCCAGCAGGTCTACTAAATAAACCTACCCCTTACCTGAATACCACGTGGGTGGTGCTGTTCTTACTCGGCTACCTCTTTTTAAAAACCTAACACTCTAGACCAGCCAGGACCCTCCTCTAGACCAACCAGGACACTCCATTAGACCAAACAGGACCCTCCCCTAGACCAGTTAGGACCCTCCCCTAGCCCAGTCAGAACCCTCCTCTAGACCAGCCAGGACCCTCCCTGAGACCAACCAGGACCCTCCTCTAGATCATCCAGGAGCCAGGACCGTCCTCTAGACCAGCCAGAACCCTCTACACAGACCAACCAGTACCCTCCTCTCCACCTGCCAGTACCCTCCTCCAGACCAACCAGTAACCTCCTCTAGACCAACCAACACTCTCCTCTAGACCAACCAGGACCCTCCTCTAGATTAGCTAAGACCCTCCCAAGACCAACCAGGACCCTCCTCTGCACCAGCCAGGACCCTCCTCTGCACCAGCCAGGACCCTCCACTAGACCAACCAGGATCCTGCCCTAGACCAGCCAGGACGCTCCTCTAGACCAGCCAGGACCTTCACCTAGACCAGCCAGGACCTCCACACAGACCAGCCAGGAACCTCCTCTACACCAACCAGTACCCCCCTTTAGACCAATGAGGACCCTCCCTAGACCAACCAGTACTCTCCTCTAGACCAACCAAAACTCTTCATTAGACCAGCCAGGACCCTCCAATAGACCAACCAAGAATCTCCAAAATACCAATCAGGACCCACCTCTAGACCAGCTAAGACCCTTCAGAAGACCAACCAGAACTCTCCTCTAGACCAGCCAGAACACTCCACTAGACTAACCAGGAATCTACCCAAACCAACCAGGATCCTCCTCTAGACCAACCAGGATCCTCCCCAAGACCAACCAGGACCCTGTCCTATACCAGCCAGGACCCTCCTCTAGACCAGCCAGGACCTCCACGCAGGCCAGCCAGGAACCTCCTCTACACCACCCAGTACACCCTCCCCCCTTTAGACCAACCAGGACCCTCCCCAGGACCCTCCCCTACACCAATGAGTACCCTCCTCTTGACCAGCCAGGACCTTCCTATATACCAGCCAGGACCTTCCTATATACTAGCCAGAAACTTCCCCTAGACCAGTCAGGACACTCCATTAGACCAACCAGGACCCTCCACTAGACCAGCCAGGACGCTCCTCTAAACCAGCCAGGACCCTCCTCTAGACCAGTGAGGACCCTCCACTAAACCAACCATTACCCTACAGTAGAACATGCAGGATCCTCCTCTAGACCAGCCAGGACCCTCCTCTACACAAGCCAGGACACTCCACTAGACCAACCAGGACACTCCTCTAGACCAACCAGGACCCTCTCCTAGACCAACCAGGACCCTCTTCTAGATCAGCCAGGACCTTCCCCTACACCAGCTAGGACCCTCCATGCCAGCCAGGACGGTCCACACAGTCCAGCCAGGAACCTCCCTTAGATCTACCAGTACCCCCCCAAGACCAACGAGGACCCTCCACTAGGCCAGCCGGTATGCTCCTCTTGACCAGCCCAGACCCTCCTATACACCAGCCAGTACCCTCCCCTAGACTAGCCAGGACCCTCCTCTATACCAACCAGTACCACCTTCTACAGCAATCATAACCCTCCCCTAGACCAACCAGGACACTTCAATACACTAGCCAGGAACCCCTCTATACCAGCTAGGACCCACCTCTACACCAACCAGGACCCTCCTCTAGACCATCAAGACTAGGCAGGACGCTCCACTAGACCAACCAGGACTCTCCCCTCAACCAGCCAGGACCCTCCTCTGGCCCAACCAGGATCCTCCTCTAGAGCAGCCAGGACCCTCCCCTAGATTAGCCAGTACCCTCCTCTAGGCCATCAAGACCCTCTACACAAGCCAGCCAGAACCCTCCTCTAGACCAACCACTCCCCAAGATGAACCAGGACCTTCCCCTAGACCAGCCAGGACCTTCCCCTAGACCAGCCAGGACCTTCCCCTAGACCAGCCAGGACCCTTCTCTAGACCAGCCAGGACCTTCCTATATACCAGCCAGAACCCTCCCGTAGACCAGCCAGGACCCTCCACTAAACCAGCCATTACTCTACTCTAGACCAGCCAGAACCCTCCTCTAGACCAGCCAGGACCCTCCACTAAACTAACCAGGAATCTCCTTAAACCAACCAAGACCTTCCTCTAGACCAACCAGGACCCTACCCAAGATCAACCACGACCTTGCCCTAGACCAGCCAGGACCTTCCCCTAGATCAGCCAGGACCTTCCCCTAGATCAGCCAAGACCCTCCCCTAGATCATCCAGGACCCTCCTCTAGACCATACAGGACCCTCCGCTAGACCAGCCAAGACCCTCCACACAGACTAGCCAGCACCCTCCTCTCAACCAGCCAGTACTCTCCTCTTGGCCAGCCAGGACCCACCTCTAGACCAACCAGCACCCTCCTGTACACCAGCCAGGATCCTCCACTAGACCAACCACAACCCTCACCAGGACCAACCAGGACTGCTCTAGACCAACCAGGACCTTCGCCTAGACCAATCGGGACCCTCCTATAGAACAGCCAGGACCCTTCTATCAACCATCCAGGCTCCTCCTCTAGACCAGCCAGGACCCTCACCAAGACCAGCCAGGCCCCTCACCAAGACCAACCAGGACCCTCCCCTAGACCAGCCAGAACCCTCACCTAGACCAACCAGGACATTCCACTAGACCAACCAGGACTCTCCCCAAGACCAACACGGACCCTCCTATAGACCAGCCAGGACCCTCCTCTAGACCAGTAAGGACCCTCCCTTAGACCAGCCAGGACCCCTCCTGTAGACTACCAGGCCCCTCACCAAGACCAACCAGGACCCTCCTCTAGACCAGCCAGGCCCCTCCTCAAGACCAGCCAGGCCCCTCCTCTAGACCAGCCAGGACCCTCCTCTAGACCACCCAAGACCCCTCTCTAGACCACCCAGAACCCTCTTCTAGACCAGACAGGTCCCTCTCTTAGACCAGCCAGGACCCTCCTCTAGACCAGCCAGGACCCTACCCTAGACCAGCCAGTACCCTCACCTAGACCAACCAGGACATTCCACTAGACCAACCAGGACCCTCCTCTAGACCAGCCAAGACCACTCCCCTCCATAGACCAACCAGGATACTCCACTAAACCAAACAGGACCTTCCCCAAGACCAACCAGTACCCTCCTCAAGACCAGCCAGGACCCTCCTCTAGACCAGCCAGGACCCTCCCCAAGCCCAACCAGGACTCTCTAGACCAGCCAAGACCCTCCTCTAGACCAATCAGGACCCTGCCCTAGACCAGCCAGGAATCTCCTCTAGACCAGCCAGGACCCGTCTCTAGATCAGCCGAAACCCCTCCCCTAGACCAACTAGGACACTCCACTACACCAACCAGGACCCCTCCCCAAGACCAACCAGGACCCTCCCCAAGACCAACAAGGACCCTCCCCAAGACCAACCAGGACCCTCCCCAAGACCAACCAAGACCCTCCTCTAGGCCAGTCAGGACCCTCCTCTAGACCAGCCAGGACCCTCCCCTAGACCAAGCAGAACCCTCTCCTATACCAACCAGGATCCTCTTCTAGACCAGCTAGGACCCTCCCCAAGACCAACCAGGACCCTCCTCTAGACCAGCCAGTACCCTGCCCTAGACCAGCAAAGACTCTACCCTAGGCCAATCAAGACCCTCCTGTAGGCCAACCAGGACCCTCCTCTAGACCATCCAGGACCCTGCCTTAGACCAGCCAGGATTCTCCTCTGGATCAGCTAGGACTCTCCACACAGACCAGCCAGGACCCTCCACACAGCTCTCAGGGCCCTCCCCTAGACCACAAGGATAGGATAGTCAGTGCCACAAGGGCTCGTGGTCGCTCACAGTGGTCCTACAGGAGCGGGAAGGCAGCTCCCCTGGGTGCTACCCGCGGCTGGGAGGGCTTTGTGGGTGTGATTGAGGGGCCTTTGTTTCCCTTCAGACCTGGGAAGACCCTTTGGCCAAGCCCTCCGGCTTGGGCTGTCCCTTGGGCTACAGGCTGCTTCCAAGCTATGCTAGGATTCTCCCAGCCCCAAGATCCCCTCCTGCACCCAGCCCGGAATGAATCCTCAATGCTCCCACCCCAGTTCCTCCCTGTAGGCCCCGCCCCAGGTCCCATCATCCCCACGCTGGGCCCCACCTGCCAACCCTCCATCCCTGCGGCCTGGGCCCCGCCCCCCCAGGGTCTCCCAGCCCTCTGGCACAAAGCAGACAGTGCTGACCACACGTGGACACCAAAAACCTGGGCAGTGTAGCTGTAAAGATGAGGGAGGGTTCCCGGCGAGGAGGGGACAGGCTCCAGGGCTGTGCCCCCAGAAAGTGTGCCCTGCAGGAGGGGTGGCAGGGACGTCTGCAGAGAGGACGAGGCTGGCTGGCCGGCAGCTGGGCCTGGCAGGAAGGGCTGCGGTATCCACCACCAGAGGGCGCTGTGGTGCCAGGCTTGAGGCCACCACAGAGAAGCCCGAATTAGATGGGTGCCACCAGATCCTTTCCTATTCCAGGGTCCCTGCAGGGACCTGCACTGCCAGCCCCATCACAGCTGCCTCTCCCCGCCCCCCTCCACCCGCGAGTGAGCACTCCAGGCCTCTGAGCTCCCCAGGCCTCTGAGCTCCCCAGGCCCTGCTTGACAAGAGCTTCGTGTGCCCGCGGGGCCCGGTCACTGTTACTGTGGGTCAGGCCAGCAGGAACAGGGCTGCAGGAAGTTGAGGGTCCGACGCACACATCCCCACCCCACCCAGCCCCTCCGCCCAGCATGGGCAGTGGGCCCAGCTCAGACTGCCTGTCCTGGTTGTTTTGCAGGTGTAACATGTCTAGGTGTTGTGTGGAGTGTGTCTCTGCTGCATGTGGCATGTCTGGCTGTTGTGTGGCTGTCTTTGGGTATGTGTGACGTATCTGAGTTGTATGTGGCTGTGTGTGACATCAGTGTGTTGTATGTGATATGGGTGTGTGTGGTGTACCTGTACACTGTGTATGATTTGGGGTTTTGTGTGTAGTGTTTGTTGTGTGGGGGTGTCTAGGGGGTTGCATGGGGTGTGTCTGCAAGCTGTGTGTGGTGTGTCTGAATATTATGTGTTATTTGGGTTATGTGTGGGGTTGCATGTGGTGTGTCTGCGTCCAGGAGTTGTGTACACTGTATCTGCATGTTGCACGTCTGTGCTGTGTGTGGCAGTTACATGTTGTGTGTGGCTATCCTGTGTGTGTCAGCATGCAGGAGCGCATGGAAGGAGTTGGGGAATGGAAAGCTGTTTTCCTGCTGAGGGTGCGTGCCCCTCCCTGCCCTTCCTGCCCCCGCCTCCCACAGCCGCACACACAGGAAATGAAATCGCAGCGGTGAGGAAGCAGCTCCAGTTGTTTGTGGACTTGTTTATTTATTTTCATTCAGAGAAAGGAGAACGAAAATGCCCATAATTGGGCCCAGCTCCATCCAGCAGCCTCTGCACTGGGGAGGGAGGGCCTGTCCACTGCCCAAGATCCTGGGAGAGTCCAGAGAACAGGGAAGAGAAAGAGAGCTGATGCTCCTTCTCCTGAGGAATGGAATGGTTTCTGGAAAATTCTGGTCTTGGGCTGGCTCATGTCCTGGAGCCTGGGAGGCGGCATGGAGAGATGGCTTCCAGATGAGAGGGCCCTCAGCCAGCCAGGGGAGGAGGGGAGGCAGGGAGAGAAGATGAGGAGAGGGGGGAGAAGGAAGAGGAGAAGAGGGAGAGCAGGGAGGAGGAGGAGGCTGGAGGAAGAGAAGAGGAGGAGGAGGATGGAGGGAAGGAAGGAGAGGAGGGAACACTCCCAGAGAAGCTGCAGACAGTGCTGATAATCTAATCACCGCAGGCTGGAGGGCAGGGAAGATGGATTGGTTCGAGGGCAGGGAGGATGGATTGCTGGCTCCTGCCGGGTCAGAGCCTACACTCAGGTCTAGGGACTGGGGGGTAGTGGTTCCAGATCTTTCTACACTCCTATTGGAGCTAAGCTGCTTCTTATTGCTTGCTTCCTTCCTTTCTTGTCGGTCATGGGGCTGGAACTCAGGGCCTGGACACTGCCCCTGACCTCTTTTTGCTCAAGGTGAGCGCTCTACCACTTTGAGCCACAGTACACTTCTGGTTTTCCAGTGGTTCATTGGTGATAAGAGTCTCACAGGGACTTTTCTACCCGGGCTGGCTTCAAGCCGTGATCCTCAGATCTCAATCTCCTGAGATGCTAGGATTACAGACGCCGGCCACCGGCACCCGGCAGGGCTGTCTCTTTGTCTCTGCCATCTCAGCCAACATTTGTGGCTGTGTCCAGATGTCCTCCTGGGGTCCTGCTGAGTGAGGCCTCTGGACTGCCACAGCCAGTCCAGTCCACAGCTGCCCCAGCAGCAGTCGGTCTGGCCTAGCTCCCACATCAGCCCGGCCACAGCGCTGTGGGGTGGAGTGGGTCTGACCCAGAGGGCCGCGCAGTCTAGCCAGGGCCTCGGCACTGGCCACCAGCGTGGCTCATCCTCCAGAGGGTCAAGAGGACACTCAGCAGGGACCAGCTCCCTGTGCGGGCAGGGCATTCACGGCTTCTTCTCCCAGAATCCTTACACTGTCCATGCAGGGGGGAGGGCAGGTGACCGGGCAGGCCAGGGAGGGGCCTGTAATGCTCACTGGCTTCTACAAGCACGTTCCCAATCTGAGCGCGGACAGGACAGGGCAGGGGCAGCGTGAAGATGCTGGGTGGCAGGCCCACGCAGGGGTGTGGAAGACAGGAAAGGGAGGCGGTAGCTTGGTGGGTCACACCGGTCCTTCGCTTCTCCCGCACAGCCAGCTGCCTCTGGGGGGTGGGCTGTGGTCCAAAGGCATCAGGCTGTCGGGTTGGGGGGATCCCTGGAGGGGAAACCGAAGCACCCTGGGGGGCGCAGCACCAGTCCTCGTGCAGGGGCGTGGCATGGCAGGGCGGGGGAACGGGACAGAAATTCCAGAAAGGGTCTCCCCATGCCGGGAGCCCCTGCCCTCTCCCGTGCCCACACACACGCTCGCCCCTGCAGGGGTTCCTGTGCTTCGCCCTGGTGTTCTTGGCTCTAGCACAGGTGGCCTTCTGGAGGCTCCGCAACCCCACCCAGGTGAGTGTCCCCCCCCATCCCCACCAGGTGAGTGTCCCCCCTCCCTGTCCCCACACTGCCCGACTAGTCACTGCTCTGCCACCGTCTGAGAGCCGCGGGCAGCACGCAGGGGAACGTGGAAGGCCCGGCTCTCCATAATTCATGCCGCCGGCCAGCACCGGCGGGGAATCCCGGGGGCTGCCCTCCCTCCATGCCCTGGTCACCGTGTGGCCGGCCACAGCCGGCCCATGGCCGCCCTCATGCCGCCGAGCTCCCTGGAGGCAGGTCCATGGGTGCCAGTTGAGCCCACAGAGTGGCGAGGTGGGGTGTGGCAGGAAGGAGTTCCCGAGACCAGGTACCCCTCTGCCCTGGCCTTGGGAAGACGCCTGGACGTCCGGTCTCAGCCAGCAGCAGTCTGAGAACAGCTCTTGTCTGTTCTGGGGCCCAGGAGCCCCCAAACACCCTTGCAGGGAGTGGAGACCCCTGGACCACCGGCAAAGCTCCTGGCCCTGGTCTCTCGATTTCTAAGAGACACGCCGGCCTTGGGCTCTGACAGTGCCCGGCTGAAGCCTCGGTCAGGAGCTGGGCTGTGGGACGCCAGCCCGACCCCCCGGGGCCTGGCTGCGGGGCTCAGACAGGCGCTGCTTCTCAGTGACTAGGAGAGTGCTCAGCAGAGCCAGGCAAGCAAGTCCCTGGAGATGTGTCCACCCTGCTGCGCAGGGGTGAGGACAGTGACCCCGGGCCCCAGGGGAACTCGAGGCTCCCTGGGCGTGGCTGGGCTGTGGGGGAGGGAGGGGGGACAGGGAGGGGCAGGGAGGACCTGCACCACCCACTCCAGAGCTCCCACGGTCCCCAGGCCTCCCGGGACCTGCTGCTCCGAGGTTGCAGTGGAGGACGGCTTGGGTTGAAGAGGGCGCTGGCCGGGCCCGCCCGTGGCCACAGCCAGCCTGGCACCTGCTGCCCAGGCGGGGCTGGCTCACAGAGAGACGTGACTGTGTGGTCTCACAGACAGGGATTAACCAGCCCCCGGGCGCCTGGCACAGGAGGACCAAATGGCTCCTGTGGGGGTGTCTGGCTTGGCCAGGACCGGCTGAGCACGTCTGCTGCCCACCTGAGACCTCCGGGCTGGAGGCCTGAGTGGGCAGAGCAGGCACAAGGATCCTGCATTCACCCCTACTCCCTCTACTCACCCCTACCCCTTCATCTCTACCCCTTTACTCACCCCTAACCACTCCATCCCTACCCCCATCCCTACCCTACCCCCTCTACTCACCCCTACCCCTCCATCCCTACCCCTCTACTCACCCCTAACCACTCCATCCCTACTCCCTCTACTCACCCCTAACCACTCCATCCCTACCCTACCCCCTCTACTCACCCCTAACCCCTCCATCCCTACCCCTCTACTCACCCCTACCCCTCCATCTCTACCCCCTCTACTCACCCCTAACCCCTCCATCCCTACCCCTCCATTCACCCCTGCCCCCAGCGCCCTCAGTAAGAGAAAGAGGGAGGACTCAGGTCTCCAAGCACAAAGGAGGCATCAGAGGGCCCGCCTGGGCCAGGAGACCAGCGAGCTCTGGGGAAGCCAGGGCGGCCTTCCTGGCAGAGGTGGCCTTTTGCCTCTGAGGGAATCGTTGGTAAGGAGAAGGTGTCTGGGGATGCTGGGTGTGGAGCAAAGGCAGCACCAGCCAGGCCCCGCTGCCAGCGCCCTGTCTGTCCTGGCCCCCAAGTGCGCATGTCTGCTCTGAGCCTGTGTCTTCTTTACCCAGAGTCCAGCTGCCCAAACTCTGGGTGGTTCTAGGTACCGAGCTATGTGCATCTTGGGGAGTGAAGTCTTCCCGGGCCCAGCCCCATCGCCGTGCAGAAGGCAGCAGAAGGCGCTTCCCTTGCTGGTCCCTGAATGCCCCCAGGACCAAGGCTGAGTGCAGCCTGAGCTCATCCCTCAGTACCCCGGGCAGCTGCAGGCCACATGGGGAAAGGCGGCTGCTGGAGGGCCGCATGTCCCCTGCACCCATGGGTGGCAGGCTGCAAGGTAGGGTCTCCCATGTGCTCTCTGTGCAGGTGGAGGATGCCGTGCTGGACACCTATGACCTGGTGTATGACCAGGCGGTGAGGAGCCCGTCGGGCACCCAGAGCCAGGAGCTCACCGCCATCCAGGACACGGTAAGCTGGGGACAGGGTCTCTCCTGTGTTGTGCTGGCAGTTGGCGGGGTGGTTGGCCCTGTTGGGGTCCAGGGAAGAGGTGCTGGACGCCCCCACAGTGAGTGGTCCAAGGGCAGGTAGTCAGGGGGACCCAGGACACCACTGCTTCCTGAATAAGGCTGGCTGCTGGATGTGCGGGCCCAGCGAGGGATCAAAGGGCAGAGCCCAAGTTCAAAAATCATGACTAACTAGCCAGGCTCTGGTGGCTCCTGCCTGTAATCCTTGTTACTCAGGAGGCTGAGATCTGAGGATTGAGGTTTGAAGCCAGCCCAGGCAGGAAAGTCCATGAACCTCCCCCCTACCCCCGCCAGTCCTGGGGCTTAAACTGTCCCTGAGCTTCTTTTGCTGAAGGCTGGCACTCTACCACTTGAGCCACAGCACCATTTCTGGCTTTTTCTGTGTATGTGGTGCTGAGGAATCAAACCCAGGGCTTCATGCTTGCTAGTGAGCTCTCTACCACTGAGCCACCTTCCCAGCCCACGTCCATGAAACTCTTATCTCCCAATTTACCACCAAAAAGTCAGAAATAGAGCTGTGGCTCAAGTGGCAGTGTGCCAGTCTTACACGGAAAAAAACTAAGCAACAGTGCTCAGGCCCTGAGCTCAAGCTCAGGAACTCACGCTGAATAAACAAACATCTGAGACAGCGTGCATGAGTGCAAGTGAGCCACCTGCCCCCCCCCCCCAACCCCACAGGGCCTTAGACAGGCCCTGCTGGCTGCCGTGGGAGCTGGCCTTCCGTGTCCGTGGTGGCCGCTCAGGGGGCCGGGCTGCACCCTCCTGGTGCCAGGTGCCCCTCAAGTCGCCATGACATCCCCAAACTCCAGCCCTGGTCTCTGGGGAGCCCAGTTCTTCAGGACCACCCAGGTCATTTGTCCCCTGGTGCCTCAGTTTCCTCCATTTGTCCTTCCTGCCCGCCTGACGTGGCTCCCTGATCTCCTTTGTGCAGTTTCTGTGCTGTGGAAAGACCTCTCCTTTCGGACTCTTAGGGAGCGGGGAGGCTGACCTGTGTCAGGGCCCTGAGGCAGCAAGAGAGGTGAGGGGGGACGACGGGAGGGGAGGCGGGGGAGGAGCATGGGGAGGAAGAGGCGGGCCGAGGGCTGGGAAGATCCTGCAAGCTGGCCGGGTGACACCCCCCGTCCCTGCCCCGGGACCCCTGGGCTGTACAGGCTCAGAGCCCTAGAGAACCCGGGGGTGGGGGAAGGGGGAGGGTTGAGAGGGAAGCTCCTGTAGTCAGCCTCGAACCCAGGTCCCTTCTGCAGAAGGAGGCCTCCCTGCCTCCCACTTCCCTCCTCCAGGCACTCCCCGCCTGGGCCTTCTCTGGCCAGAGCAGACCCTGTCTGCGTGCCCAGGCCCTGCCCAACTGTCTAGGGGAGGGGGCAGGGGCTCCAAAAGCAGCCGCTAGAAGGGCACTCCGGAGGTGAGGGGAGGCTAGAGGGTCAGCTGGGCAGGGACGTGGCCCTTCTACAAAGACCTGAACTTGGCCTGCTGTCCTGATGCCCAGCTGCCCAACCCCCACCCCGGCTCTCCACCCCGCCCCCTCTGGACACACGCTATCTCATGGTGCAGGGCCTGGCTGCCCTCCAGGGACGGGAGGCGGAGGGGGACTGGCTTGCGGCCCAGCCAGGGCCCAGCGCCCGCCCCGAAGGCCGGGGGAGCTGGTGCTGGGGAGGGGCTCCGAGTCAGGGGTCCCAACTGCAAAGCAGGAGCCGTGACCCTCTGTAAAAGGACTGAGGGCGTGGGGAGAAGCCTGGGGAGTACAGGCCAGCCAGGCCTGGGGGGTCCCCTGCCCGCAGGAAGGCGGGGTGGCTCTAGGTGTAGCTTAGTGATCCAGAGCCTTCTAAGCTTCCCCAAATGCTCCCTCCTGCCCAGAAAGCTATGTGCGCCAGCAGAGTTGCAGGAGGACCGGCAGTCACCTCATTTCTGGGAGAGAAGCACGCTTTGGGGAACACTGGAGGCTCAGACAGAACTGGGCCCCCAGAGAGCGAGGGCCATGCCCCCCTGCCCCCAGCAGCCATCTTAGAAGCGCTCAGAGAAGCTGTCCCCCCCCTCCCCATACCCCAGGGCCCAAGCAGCCCAAGGTCCCCATGGCAGCCAGCCGGCTGGGACCCTGGGTGTCACCATTCCTGAGCTGCTTTCCCAGAAGTCAGGTGGCTTTTCCTGGACACTTGTGTACCACTACTGCCCACGGCCCCACGCCTGGGGCCCTGCAGCCCCCCCCCCCCCGCAGGGCTGGGGGCAGGCCGGGCAGGGAGGGATGGTGGTCAGGGCTGTGGGCAGGCCAGGCAGCCAGGCAGGGAGGGACGGTGGTCGGGGTGGGCCAGCTTCCCCCCCTCCGCAGGGCTGGGGGCAGGCCGGGCAGGGAGGGACAGTGGTCAGGGCTGGGGGTCAGGCCAGGCAGGGAGGGATGGTGGTCAGAGCTGGGGGTCAGGCCAGGCAGGCCAGGCAGGGAGGGACGGTGGTGGGCAGGCTGGGCAGGGAGGGACGGTGGTCAGGGCTGGGGTCAGGCCGGGCAGGGAGGGATGGTGGTCGGGGTGGGCCAGCCCCTCCCACAGGGCTGGGGGTCAGGCTGGGCAGGCCAGGCAGGGAGGGACAGTGGTCAGGGCTGGGGGTCAGGCCAGGCAGGCCGGGCAGGGAGGGACAGTGGTCAGGGCTGGGGGTCAGGCCAGGCAGGCAGGGATGGTGGCTGGGCAGGCTGGGCAGGGAGGGATGGTGGTCAGGGCTGGGGGTCAGGCTGGGCAGGCAGGGACGGTGGCTGGGCAGGCCAGGCAGGGAGGGACGGTGGTCAGGGCTGGGGGTCAGGCTGGGCAGGCAGGGACGGTGGCTGGGCAGGCCAGGCAGGGAGGGATGGTGGTCAGGGCTGGGGGTCAGGCCAAGCAGGCCGGGCAGGGAGGGACGGTGGTCGTGGTGGGTGTCAGGCATGCTGTCCCGCCGCAGGACTGCCTGCAGAGCATCAGGAACTTCCTGAGGACACAGGGGACCATCACCTCCACCCTGACCAGTGCCGGCCTGGCCCTCACGGTATGCCACACACCCCACGCTGCCCCTTCCCACCTCCACTGGCTGGAATCTGCATCCTTCCTCCCCAAGACAAGTGGACCCCTTGCCAATTCGGCCAAGTCTAGAGACTTCTTAGGGAAAGGAGGTCCCTACCCCAGGTTGCTGCATGGCTAATGCCGGGCATGGGGTCCCCCCCCCAGGTATACGCCATGCTGCTCAGCGCCTTCCTCTGGCTTGCTATCCACAAGGGCTGCGGCTTGGACCACAAAGACGGATACTCCCTGACCCCACGGTACACCCCCCCAGCAGGACCAGTGCCCCCACCTGACCTGCCATCTCCCCAGAAACAACACAGAGGGATGGGGCTTCAGGGCCATGTGCAGCGGAGGCCTTGGGGTCCCCATGCACAGATGCAGGGGGGATCCAGACCCTGCCCCAGCGTCACCCCAGCCTGGCTGCCCGGAACTCCCCCCACCCTCCCGCTCTGCCAAGCCACCAGCGCCTGCCCGCCCAGCATCCCTCCTACCCCCTGTGTTCTGGAAAATAGCGCTTTGCCATCCCCTCCAGAACATTCTGACACAGACTTGAAATCCCTTCTACACTGGTCTACAACCGTGGTTCTCTCCAGAACATTCTAGAACATTGTAGGACGTCTTTTTTGTTATTGTTGGTTGTGGGGCTTGAACTCTGGGCCTGGGCGCTACCCCTCAGCTCTTTTGCTCAAGGCTAGTGCTCTACCACACTTGAGCCACAGCGCCACTTCCAGTTTTCTGGTGGTTCACTGGAGATAAGAGTCTCAGGGACTTTCCTGCCCAGGCTGGGTTTGAACTGCAATCCTCAGATCTCAGCCTCCCAAGTGGCTAGGATGACAGGCGTGAGCCACCAGCGCCAGGCTAGGAAGTCTTATGTTCCCCACCAGAACATTCTGTGACAGATTCACAGTTGCCTCTAGAGTGTTCTAGAAAGATCAACAATGTCCTAAGACGTTCAGAACAGCCTCATTACCCCCTGCCTTTCAGAGCCCATGGCTACCAGTGCCAGGAGCCCAGCCTCTTCAGACGTTTCCAGGAAGCACCCGTGCCTCGACACCCTTCTGAAGCAGAGGCGATTCCATAGCCATGGAGGTCCAGCAGGACACCTGGGTGGCCCACGGTGGGGCAGGTCACCTACCTGCCCAGAGGGCGGGCGACGCTGGCCGTCGCGAATCCTCCAGGGAGATGAGGGCAGGGGGAGGGGAGAGCCGCCAGGCCGATGCCTCCCTGAGGGTGGACCAGGCTGACCAGGCTAGGAGGACGAGGACAGAGGAGCCAGCACGAGGCAGGCCGGACTCCCGGTCAGTGCCGTCCAGTGCCCGCCAGCTCTGCACAGGCCCTCCCCCCTGGGCCCCCCCGGCCCCCCCGGGCTGTGCTGTAACACAGCATCAACGTGGTCACTGGTCTCTGTGACAGCTTAGGGTAGGAAGGGTTTGTTCCGGCTCGGGGGCTCAGAGGCATTGGTCTCAAAGCAGACCAGGATGGTGGGAGCATGTGGGGGACAAAGCTGCTTGCCTAGGGGTGGCCCGAAAGCAAAGGGAGGGACAGGAGGGAGGGGGTAAGGCGCACCCCGGCAGGGAAAGACGCCAACTTCCTCCAGTGGTCCTCGCCTCCCAGTTTCCCCCAGCCTCCAATCACACCAGTGCATCACAACTCCACCGCGGTGAATCGGCCGACTCCCAGAGCCTCCCGGTCCGGCAGCCTCCCAGCCTCCACCTTTGGGCGTGGCATGGGACACCAAGAGTTTGCAGCGTGAGGGCCTTTATTTTGGGGGGTGGGGAGTGATTTCCTATCCAGACCTTAACAGTCCGTCAGAGGAGGACCTGCGCGAGGAACCTAAGCAAGACCCCCATCTCAGTTCCTCAACTTAACCCTTGACCCATGTCAGGCCCAATGCCTGGAATTACGATACCTGAAATTCCAGAACAGCCCTCCGAGGGTCTGGTGACCATTGTCTAAACCAGACACCCTGCAGTTTAGCACCTGTCCTCTTGAGACTCCCCTGTGGTGCAAGCCAACCAGTTTAAAGTACGTCAGCCCCCTTGATCTAACCAACAACTTGTTTCTGGTCCTTTCCCGCTTTGTTCTGTGCCGATCATACTATAGAGTTGTTTTATGATTTTCCCGCGGTTTGTAGTGATTTGTTACAAGAAGTTATGATGTATGCAAAGCCCCTGCCTTCCCTAAAAAAATGTATAAAAAGTGCTGTCACCCTGGGCTCGGGGCCTCTCAGCGTCATGGGCTGCTGCCATGTGCACGGGGGAGGGGGGTGGGGACCAAGCTCGAGCTGGCAATAAAGACTCCTTTGCTTTTACATTGGTGACAGTCTCTGGTGGTCTTTTGAGTAAGGATTTCTGAATTCGGCTTTATACTGCACAGTACCTGGAATCCCTGGTCCCATTCCACAAGGGCCGGGCAGGTTCCCTGCTCAGGGTCTCGCCAGGCCAGGAGCAAGCACAGGCAGCCTGGGCCTTGGTCTTACTCTCCCTTCCGGAAGAACCTCCTTCTGGGCGCTCTGCTAGCTGGAAGAATCCAGTTTTATGGAGCTGCAGCTTCTTCCTTTTGCTGACTACCAGCTGGGGTGGCTTTTGGCTTCAAGAAGTCACCCCTTTCCTCCTCATGTGTCCCCTCCGCCTGCAGACCCCCGAGAGCAAGCTGGGTCTCAAAATCCTTCCGAGCAGAGCCCTGCCTGGAATATCTCCCTATCTGAGGGACAACGTTTGCCTTAATCGTGTTAAAATAAAACACAGAATTGACCATCATCGCCATTTTTAGTTGTGGTAGTTGGGGCGGCTGATCTTGGGGCCTCACGCTTGCTGTACCGGTGCCCTTTCCAGCTGGTTACACTTCTGGCCCTGTGATTCACAGATGATGCTTGGAATTTGATTGTGTTTGGAATGCCCACCCACCCAGGTACACCTCTAGGCCATCAACCACCTACTGCAGCTCCTGTAGTCATGGGGGCCCCAAGCACACCCCACCCCACCCAGCTTCTTTTCTGTGGGTCCAGCCTCCTGGGCTTTCCTGCCTAGGCTGGCCTGGAACCATGATCCTCTCAATCTCAGCCTCCTATGCAGGTTAGGGTGACAGGTATGTGCCACTGAGCTCCAATGTGGGTGGTGAAGGAGTCTCTCCTAGGCTGGCCTTCAGTCCTCCTGTTCTCAGCCTCCCAACACAGGTGTGTGCACAGGTCACAGCCACAACTCAGAGGCATTGAGCACATTCACCACCAACCACTTCCACAACTTTCTCATCTTCCTAGGCTGCACCTTCAGTGCCAGGTAATCCCAGACTGCACCTCTGTGCCCGGTAATCCCAGACTGCACCTCTGTGCCCGGTAATCCCAGACTCCCCAGCCCAGCTCCTCATCTGCTTCCTGTCTGATGCCCCTAGACGCCTCCTAGAAGTGGAGTGTGCGGCCATGAAGACACACCCAGTGTGTCCTCAGGGTCGCTGCACGTTAGAACCTGTGCTGGAATTTCCCAAGGAGACATCTTACCATGTGTAAGGGACCTTGGAGTCACATGTTGAAAAAAGAAAAAAGAAAGACCAGGCAGCCAGCGCACAACAAAGAGCGTGCACCTCAACCAAAGCCCCCAACCCTGAAAACACACGCAGCTCACACCCAAGGGAAGACACTCGTGTGCCGGGGGCTTGACCCAGGCCACGGTCGGGTACCTGTGGCCTGGGTCAAGCCCTGCCCCCCCAGCGCCCTGACAGCCTCGCTCTTACTCACCTGTGCAGTCCTGAAGGGAAGGCACCTGCTGCACACTCCTGCAGGAGACAGACGCTGGGAAGAGGGAAGAAGAGGGAGGGGCTGGGAAGGTGGTTTAGCGGTAGAGTGCTTGCCTAGCATGCACAAAGCCCTGGCTTCAATTCCTCAGTTCCACATACACAGGACAAGCCAGAAGTGGCCTTGTGGCTCAAGGGGTAGAGCGCTAGCCTTGAGCAAAATAAGCTCAGGGACAACACCCAGGCCCTGCGTTCAAGCCCCAGAACTGGCAAGAAAAAAAACAAAGGACAGGGGGGAGACGCGCTCTGTGACATAAAGCCCAGGACACTGGACCAGCCCTGACTGGAGAGGATGCCTGTCACAGAGCTTTGGCGCATGTCCAGCTGTTTCCCAACCTCGTCCCATGCTGAGTTTCTGCTGGCCTTTGTCCCCACCGTCTTCCGCCAGCTTTGATTCTAGAGGGATGGGATGGGATGGGAGCGGCGCTGGCCCCTCCGCCCACCACGTCAGGTGGCGGTGTCTCTCCTCCCAGCCCCTCTCCAGCCCCCGCTCGGATGGGCCGGACGTCTCCTCCAGCCTCACTCAACGACCCTGTTACTTGTTGCTCGGATGGAAGAATCCCTTGCCTGGCAATTAAGATCTCAGCGCAGGGGAGAGGAAAAGGAGGCCTGGCAGGGCCGGTTTGGGAACGTGGGATGAGTCCCTGGCTGGGCTGCTGAGCACTAGCCCCACGCCCACCCCTCCAGTCCCGGTGGGTTCTGACTTAGGGGAAATCTCTGGCTCCCCATGTACCCCCCCCCCGGCAGTGCATCCCACAGGTCCCCGGGGTCTCATCGTCTTAGCTGTTCCGGTCCTGGCCAGGCTCCACAGTAGGAGGACATGGAACTGGGACACAGCCAGCCGCCCCGGCTCTGCGTGGTGGCCTTTGGTCAGGGGATAAGAGGATAGACGCGTAATCAGACTGAGGTGCTCAGAGAGGGGCCTCTGCTGGGTGATTAGGATGAGATAAAGCCGTCAGGCTGGAGCCGAGTGAGGGAATCCTGCTGACTGATCTCCCTCCCTCCCTCCCTCCCTCCCTCCCTTCCTTCCTTCCTTTCTTCCCGCTTTCTTTTCTCCCTCCTTCCTTCATTTCTCCCCTCCTTCCTTTTTTCCGCTCTCCCTTCCCTCCCTTCCTGCCTTCCTTTCTTCCCTCCATCCCTCTTCCCTCCCTTTCCTCCCTTCCTCCTTCCCTTCCATCCTTCCGCCTTCTCTCAGTTCCTTCCTTTCTTCCCTCCTTGCTTCTTCCTTCTCTCCCATCCTTCCTCTCCTTCCTTCCCTCCTTCCTTCATTCCCTTCCCTCCTCCCTCCCTTTGTTCCCTTCCTTTCTCCTCTCTGTCCCTTCCTTCCTCTATCCTTCCTTCCCTCCTTCCCTCTCTCCCTTCTCCTTCTTTACTTGCTTGCTTTTTTGAGACAGGATCTCCACACATAGCCCAAGCCAGCCTTGAACTCTGGTCCTCTGTACAGAGGACAAAGTGTGTCTGAAGACACACGCAGGAAAAAAAAAAACAGAGCGCTCACCTTGAGCTGAAGAGCTGAGGGACAGTGTTCAGGCCCAGGTCAAGCCCACAAACGACAAAAAGACACTGGCTCTCCTGTCACATGAGGCTGGGCCACTCTGGGTCCGCCAGCCAGGCCGTTGCAGGTGACAGCCCTTTGACCTCCACCTTGTAACTGTGCAACAAAAGCCTTCCTTCTTCAGAAGTGCCCTGCCTAGGTGCTCTGTTGCAGTAACAAGATGCGGAGAAACAGAAAACTGATGCTGGGATGGGCTCATTCCTAGAACTTGGCCTATAAGTGCGGGGTCAGGTCTCCAGCAGAGGACCGGAGAGTTTGGAGGATCGGCTGGGAAAGGCCTGGCCTTCGGGGAAGGCTGTCCCCGGTGATTCTGGTGAGGGCAGTTTGGACAGGGGATGGGAAGAGCTAGGACCAGCGAGGCGGCGTCGGGGCGGGCTGAGGGTGAGGCGGTCGGGGCTGTGGTGGTAGAGGGACCGGCTGGAAGCTGGCTCCAGTCTCCCTGGGACTCCGCTGAGATGGTGGGCGTGTGGGGCCGTTCCTGACACCCGTCAGGCTGGGGAATGAGGGACTCGCTGTTGCTTTTGTGGTACTGGGCCAGGCCCCAAAATGACACCCCAGGCCTTTTGTCCTGGTTATTTTAGGGATAGGGTCTCCCTGCTTGTCCAGGCCGGTGTGGACTTCTCTCCTTCATTTGTGCTTCCTTGTGTTGCCGGGATGCCAGGTTCTCACCACCGCTCCCAGCCACTGCTTGAGGTGGAGTCTCACTTTTTGGTGGAGGGGGCGGGAGGTGGGGGAGGGAGGGGGTCAGGAGTCTCACGAGAGAGAGACCCAGGCTGGCCTCAAACTGATCCTCCTCAATAGCTAATAAGACAGGCTCCAGCCACCACCCCTGGTTAGTTTATCGGGTGAAAGACCTTTCACAGTGGTGAAGCCTTCAGGCCCAGCTTGGGCTTCTATGAAGTTTAACAGTGAGACTTGGAAGCAAAAGGAAACAGAGTGGAAAGATTGGGAAATTTTACAGTTTGGCCAAAAATAAGGGAGGAAAAACCCAAGTGCATACATGAAGCAGCCTAGAATCTGCCCACTACAGGTCAATGGGAAAGAGGGAAGGTCAGGAGCAGTGGGTCAGGAGCCGGAGCCCTGGTGGGGCACAGCAGTCTTCCCTGGGCATCAACCAATTGTTTTGAGCGTCTGCTTTCCAAACGGGAGCATGGACCAGGCCTGGCTTGGGTGTCTGGTTGCCAAGAGTCGCGCCACACACATGCAAGACCTCTGCAAACCCAGGAGATGGCCCTGGTATTCCATTCCAGTCTTTGTTTCTCATGTGCCAGTACTGAGGCTTGAACTCAAGGCCTGGCACTGGCCCTTGGGTTTTTGCTCAAGGCTGGCACTCTGCTACTTGAACTGCAGCTTCATTTTTGGCTTTTGGGTGGTTAATTGGAGACAAGAATCTCACAAACTGAAAGATTATTCGACTTGCCAGAGAACCATGCAGATATCCAGGTACAGAGAACAAAGAATGGTTTATTGTCAGGAAAGGGGACGGGAAGACCCCTTCTCATAAGGGAGGAATGAGAAGAAGCACCGGCTATTGTCTGGGGTGACCTATATACTTAGGAGGTTTAGGAGGGGCTAGAAGGGGCTAGTAGGCAGAGACCCTGGTATGGACGTGTGGGTTAAGGGCTTCATCATGGTGGACTAGGATTTATGGCTGCTGTTCAAGTAGTAGATAAGGGTCCT